AAGTGAGAGCAAGGGACAGCACACCACTAGTACAGACTGATAATGTCTTCATAACATCAACAGACAAGAGGGAAAAAAAAAGAATTCTGCATTCCACAAATTCTTTCCAGTTCTACCTTCTTCATGTTTCTAATTAACTTGTCATGAGGCAGGGAAGTGATCTGAGGAGAAAAGATCCCTCTTGGTTTCTTTTAGCTGCCTGTCCTGCCGTATGTCATGTTGAAGTCCAAAGTGCATTAGAAATCTGATTTGTTATGCTGACCAAAACAGACAGATCCAATCCAACATATAAACATAGAAAACCAAATACATACAATTATAATGATGTTCACAAGACCCCTGATGGATCAGAATTATCTATACAATGTATCATACTGATAGAAGATGGCTTGTTTCCCAAAGAAAAATCCCATCAGAAGCGAATTTTATAGCCATATATGAAAAAAAAAGTCTGCATCCTAATTGCTACTTAATTCAAGTAGCAGAAATATCCAGACAAGCAAAATATTTCAGTGCTATAGACTGATACCCTGATGATGTAACATACTCACAGAAGTGCTGAACTAACTTATAAAAGTTCCCATAGTTACTACAGGTTATAAAAGTAAGCTTGAGCAGGTAGAAGGGTATACTTCTACCCAGTACTTTTATTATCTTCTAGCATAAAATATAACAATGGTGTATCCAGGCTTAACTAAAATATCCTGCTTTGTGATGGTGAACTGATGGAGCAATCAGGAACAACTAAATATATCATGGTTCTTCAGGTAAACAAGATGTTGTGATAAATGTTATTCCTGTAGTCAAAAAACTTTCCTGCCTTAAGGAAAGAAAAAAACTACTATGAAGAAAAACTGATCCCAGTGAATCCCATTGCAATATTCTGGTAGCTGTACTCTTCAGATATCACCTGAAATTGCACCAGCTGTATTAAAAAACTTAATGGCTGTTTTTCACAGTGAAAAGGAGAGTCCTTGGAAAAAGACTATTTTGTAGCTGTTTTTCAGTCTTTTATGATACTTTCATAAAGAAAAAAAAATTTAGCAACTAGAAAAGATACTGCAACAGGTCCAAAAAGCAATGCTGACTATGCTGTTTTAAGAAGCAGGTGTTGAAGTAGTAAGAGACTAAATGTCTGCAAGATGTACTGGAAAAGTGGTTTGTTAAACCTTGTGTGGCCACATTCTTCTAAAATTCATCAACACAAGTAAAACAAAAATCCTTTAAAGATGTTCTATTGTGGTTTGCATTTATTCTAGACTTTTCTCCACTAAGAAAACAATTAATGTAGTATAAGCAAAGGAAACCATAGATGCTTTAGAGCAGCATAGAGTCAAATAGCTTTAGGTTTCATCTCCTACTGTCCCTGCAGCCCTTTCAGAGTTCTGCTGCCTATGTGTGGAGAGAAGGCTGCAGAGAGAGAAAACCAATTCTGCCTTTTATAGAAGAGTATTAAATTGTACAGCCAACTATACAGGACAGTCTACGATGTAATAATGGTTGAAGCTGGATAGTTGGGTGAGGGCCACATTTCAGGCTGACTGCACATGCACCTAGAATCCTGGTCCTTTCTTTGCTTTGGCATTGCACTGGACCAACACAGCAAACACTGATTGCTTGGGATCTAACAACCAGATCTGCTGACTTTGTGGGAACAACATAAATTTGGGTCCCTAGTATGTGGTTTGAGAGATGTTGGCAAGGCAAGGTCTGGAGGCTATGGGGAATCACAGCCTTTCCTTAGCCCTTGGAGAGGGAAAAGCTGAAAATCAGTGACGACTATGATTTATTTAAGTATGCCAAAATATGCCGCACTTATCAGCCATATTTAAAGCATGAAAGAAGGAGCAAAACTGGAGCATTTTTTGATGGCATTCCAATTTATATACAGTCTTTAATTATTGCATATTCTCATTAGCATATGTTCTGAGTGAAACCAAATGTAAGAGATGAAGTCCTATTTGTGTAGTGTGTGTCTGCATTTGAAAATTCAGATTCATATGTAAGGGAGGCTGGAAACAGCCCAAGAAATGTACTTAAGTAGCTCTTCCTGAAAAACACTGGTAAGAATTATGTTGCGAGATGCTCATGTTCTGTCTGTGAATGCTAAAATAGGTAAACATAAGGTCATGCACCTATGTCAAAAAGGGAACAAAAGAAAGAAACAGACCAAGACATGCTCTAAAATACAACCATCCTCTGAATCCTTCAGTGACTCTGGTAGATGATATTTTTTTTGTCTTTGTAGTCCTTGAGGCAGAGGAAGTTCCTTCCACTGTGCTTTACAAAAAGTTAACTGAACCATTAATGATTAACAAATAAATAATCCTGTCTATAGACAATTATCTTTCCCCTTATGAAGTCACTTCCTCTCTCACTGTAAATCTGCCACACTATTCTGATAGCAGTTTTGATAAGTGAGATCACATCTGAATTTTAGAGGTTAGTTTGAGGTGAATGAATGAAAGAAAATGCTGTCATGAAATCTAAGACCTTTGGGTATACCTGTGACAACCTGGAACTTGAGATGGTTTGCTGCTGGAAGGCTTTAGCGTTTAAAGGCACAATTCACATGAGCCTGAAATAAAGCAATAAAAGATGCTGCCTAGTGTGGCTTTTTTTTCCCCCACTTATTGTGATGTACACTTTAAAAATGTTTGTTTTTCATCTATTATTTAATAATCTAGTACAATCTTTACTACTGTTCAGGGAGATGTTGTTAGACAAATAGGTTTTTGTTGTCTTTTTATCTTTCCGTTTTTTTGTGAAAGCAAATGGAGTCTCTTCATGCCATTAACCAAAGTGACTTGTAAACAAAGAGGCAATTTAACAGCATCCCCACAGCATTACATTCCTACTTAACCCTGAAAAGACTGTGCAGTGTGAAAACTCAAATGATCAGAGAGTTGTTCCTTTTGCTAGGATTCTGGCAAATAAACTAGTATTTTTACAGACATGTAATTGCACTTTTTTTGCAAATACATTGTTCAAGAATATAATCCCAAAAGCAAGAAGCCTTTACAACAACCCTTCTATCCAGCCTGCACCTCTGATTGATTTCTTTGCTTTACATAACATTCATTTAGTGGAAGTGAATGATGAGCATTGTCAGAACTGCAGTGTAAACCAGAGCATTTCAAGGAAAGGAAGCAAGCTGTAACATTAAAGGAATTTGAGGAGTGCAATGGCTGCTCTGTAGAGCATCAGGGCTATTTGCATTCACTGTATTTTTACAAAATATATATTTATTTTCTATTAAATTACCTCCTGCAGTATTTACTACTCTCTCAGTTTGGTGTGTTAGTGATCTACCCATTATCCTTTGCCCTGTCCCCCAAATATACCACAGGTTTTTGTTACGAGTAAAACAAAAGTGCCATATAATTCAGTCTGCTTTCTGTCAGATCATTCAATATGTGTGAAAAAATTAAATTTGGGAGTAAAGTAAGAAGGAAACAAGGGTTTTCACTAGCCCTGAGGTCATCCTATCTCTTCCCTGCTTGCTTGGACAAAGCTATTGTAATTATTTTTTTTCTAGAATAAGCATATTTTTGCCCTTTTCAGCAAACACACTTATGTTTTAATAGTTACTGCTATTTTCAGCCTTGTATATGCCAGAAGCTATAGTTGGTCATGCCAGTATTCATTAAAAAGTCACATCCACAAACTTTATTCTTAACATTTGTTTACACTTCATGTGATAGTCACAACATTTAAAATTAAATACAGGATTTAAAGCATAATTGACACCACCAAATGTTATTTTTACCTACTAATAAGCAGAATAACAGATAATGCTCCAAACTGAGGCAGTTCCTTAAAGCAAACATAAAGGCTCCTTCTACCTCTGTAGTAGAGTTCTATTAATGAAAATGTTGTTTTTTCAATTTTATTTCTTCTTTTCAGGAGCACAATGTTGTACCAACTCAAAAACTTGCTGTATTTTTACTCTGGCAATGTACAATAATCACAGAAACATAGAGTGTACTGATTTGGAAAGGATCCATCAAGATCATCAAGTCCAACTTCCAGCCCTGTGCAGGACACTCCAATCACACCATGTGCCCAAGAGCATTGTCCAAATCCTTTTAATTTTGTCAGGCCAGGTGATGTAAGCACTTTCCTGGGGAACCTGTTCCAGTGCCCAACCACCCTCTGTGGTGAAAAACCTTTTCCTTGTATCCAGTCTAAACGTCCCTGACTCAGGCCATTTCCTTCAATCCCGTCCCTGGTCACAAGAGTGAAATCAGTGTCTACCCCTCCTCTTCCCCTTATGAGGAAGCTGAAGACTGCAATGTGTTCTTCCCCCAGCATCCTCTTCCCTAGGCTGAACAAACCAAGTGGCCTCAGCTGCACCTCATAACCTCCAGACCCTTCACCATTCTCCTGGCCCTCCTGTGAAAGCTGTCTAATAGCTTAATGAGAGCACATAGAGCATAAAGAACTTTCATATCCATTACTTCAATGAGTTTACTAATTAGTAACAGGTATCTATAGTCCACCAACAGGGAGAAGTTTCTACACATAACTAATTTTCCTTATAGTCCGCTTATTTATTTTACTATTTCTATATACAGCATGGTCTCCCTCTACTGTTCATTAGCTAGTTTTTAGTCCATTCATTTTCCTTTCTTTTAACTGGAAAAAAGCTTCATGCTCTCCACCTCTGTCCACATAAGAAAGGAAAAAAAACAGTGATTGTGTTACTTTCCCAGCAGAAAGCACTGGAAGAGCAGAAAGGCTTTGCTTTTAACAGAAGAAACAAAAGCTTTAATTCCTACCATCAAAGGAAGCAGACCAGTTACCTATCTTAAAACCCAGCAGGCTTCCATCTAAATCACTAATGCAGGAATTGCCACCAGCCCTCAGGAGCCCTGACAGCCAGAACATTCCTGCTGTTTTAATGAGGAGGAGTACAATGCTCCACTTCACCATATAAGCCATTTTCTCACCCAGTTAAATACAATACAGCTATTAAAAATAGAAGAAATAAGACTTACTCAATAAAGTACACTTCCCCCTTTTCTGTATAAGCCATTTCCCAGTTATCAGGCAGTGGGCCCAAGTCATCATTCTCTTCAGGTTTAGTCTGTTTTGTTACATCCATATCCTCCTTTGCTTCTTCAGGCTGACCATATCCTGGTGCAGGACAAGGCTGGGTGGTAGATGCCTCACCCGAGACAGCTGTACTCTTCTCTTCATGTTCACTCGATTCTACAAGAGAAGAACAATTACAGGTTTTGGATATCCAAGTTAATGGTGAAGAATTTACTGGGTGCAAGTGTCTGTGAACTGCAAGTCTTGAAATAAAGAGAAAAATTCTGTTTGGTTTACACAAAGGCTCCTCTGATGATGCATTTTCTTTGGAACACAATTAAAGAAAATAAAGGAATAAAACCAAAATGAAACAAGGGACTAATAAAGAGTTCTGGCTCATTCTGTCCCAGGAGTCCTTCCAGACTAGCAGTAAGCTCTGAGCAGAAGGCAGCTTCATATCCAGCAGCTCTACTGTCTCATGTCTTAACTTTTCAAGCTATACCCATAAACACATATATATACCCATAAAACAACTGCCCCACTGTGTTACTACAGACCATTTTCATGTAAAAATGCATGTTCACTAATTGCTTTATGTGTATCCATATATCAAATAAACCACTGACATCCATCAACTCATAGCAATATATTAACCATATAGAAGGTGGTTGTGATTTCATTGTTGATGCCACCTGTAGGAAGCTTAGCTTCCCACAGCCAATAACAAATGCTTCAACATGTTAACATTGTAGTCTACAGGAAAGTTCAAGAAGATGACAATTTATTAAATGATCTAACAGTGCACCCAGAACAAGGAAATAGGCAGAGACCTGTGTGAAACATGTAGGAAGGTGGAAGACAGCTTGGGTGAAATGTTCTAATTAATGATGCTTACAACAGCAAGAAAGAAGAGCAACAAAAAATTAACAAAAAGCTGTTTATAAAGGCCTAGATTTTAATTAACTTACAGAATCAATAAACGTGCTATTATGGCAAGCAATGGTAAGAGATAAAAAGTTTAGGAGAACTAGTAAAGATTGAATAAGCAATGCTCAGAATGCAAGTACAAATTTTTAATGAAAAACAAAAATAGTAAGTATAATCAAAGACAATTTTAATTAAGTCATGAATTTGCAATGAGCTGCTACTTGAGACAGAATTGTACAAAAGGTGAAAACTAGACTAAACAGTTAAGGATGAACACAGAAAAATAACATGGGAATCTAACAGCAAAATAGAAGGCAGTCTAGAAAGTCTGATAGGGTCAGGACATTAGGGCTAACAAGAAAACTTTCTGTAAGTGCAATATAATAATAATAATACCACCAAAAGCAGATTCTTTCTACTATGTGGGAAGGAAGGAAAGCTAATAGTTTATGATGCATAAAAACCCCAAGGCAATTAGTGCTCTTTTTGCCTCAGCCCCTACTACCACAAAAATAATCACCCGTGATTAAATGACTAACATAATTAATATCAGCAATAGGGCTAAAGAAGGTGCAGTGGGCAGAGAACAGGTCAGGTGAAACTCAGATGACCCAGCTGCTCTGAACTGGCAGAGCTGGATGAAATGCAGCCTAGGGTACACAGAGTACCACATACGCAGACTCATAGCAAATAATGGCAACACCTTCCAGACTTCATGGGTTAAAGAAACTTGGAAAGGACAAACACAACCCTGGTTTCAGCAAAATATATAAGATTTAGGTTTTTAGATAGTTTTATATTCTTAAATCCGAGTGCCTTAAGTTTCTTCTGAAATGATTTGCTCAATTAGGCCATTTTATCCTTTTGGAATAAAAGGAGGAGGAAGACTCATGAAACTGTAACTGCACAGCTTTCTCTTTTTTATTCCTAGGATTGGAAGTAAGAATCAAACCACCTACATGTAAACTCTTCAGAGGTCATAAATATTTGTCAAGACTTTTCAGGAAGAAATGGTGCCAAACGAATCTTTTTTTTCTTTATATGACATAGTAAAAAGTGTTGCTTCTTCAGCATAAATGGTATATGCAGTTTTCATGATCTTAAAAATACTTTTGACACTGACATATCAACTCTTCAGAATAACATGAAAAAGAAAACCAGATTCAACCTTGGAAAGGGTAATCATCTACATCTCTACATCCACATGCAGCTCATGTTGCTAAATCCTAACTCATGCTTGAACTATGTGGAATTACAATCATTTATGCTGTTTGGAAACATTAATCTGTATTTAGCATTTTCAGATATGTAAAAGCTTCCTGCAAAGCAGAGATGATGTATGGTCACCACTTCCCCTGAGAATAGGACAATGTAATAATTGCTGAATAATTTTTGGGGTGTTTTGTTCTTATCTCTGCAAAACAAAAGTCCTCATCTACTTCAGGCATTATTAACAGATCTGTGAGTTGTTTTACTGAGGCTGGCTGCAGCCTTGACCGCATCTCTACCACAGGAAGGAAGACATGGAGATGAAACTGAATATAAGACAAAGTCACAAGACGGATATGAGCTGAGTAGAACAAACACATTTGGGCCAGAGATACATTACACACAATGACTATTGATCAGCCAATGTGTCTGATAGAGCACAGATGTGGTGACACTGCTGTGTCATTCCTGGGATTTTACCATATCTCTAAAATGTGTTCTTCCTCAAGATCATATTTTCAACAGGTCTGAAGGGGTCAGATTCATGATTTTCAATAACTATATTAACAAATCCCAGCTATAATGATGACAGAAAAAAAAAGTGAAAATTGTTTCTATAATTTACAGTCTAATTCTTGCAACTTGCCACCTAAACATGTAAGAGGACCTTGTCACTTTATTCCTTTATTTTAATGCTGCAGATTATTCATGCAGAGAATTTAAAAAACTTAGTGTCTTCATCCAAAAGAACCAACTAATGTGACCCAAGTAATATTGGCAAAGAAAAAAAAATTATTAAATAGTTATTTACGGGGTGTTTTTAGCAGTTCTGAATAAAAATATTTTATATTTTTATACCCTTATTGTATCAAATGGTTAATTTCTTAAATTCTTTACAAGAAAGAGTCCATGGTTTTAAAAGAACTGTTGGATACAAGAGTAGCTTAACTCATGTTTGCCAATACATGTGTATGTATTTTCTTGTAGAGACATAACTTTGCAGCCTTGGAGTTTCTCCCTTTCCCACAGAGCTGGAGCCATTTCAGGTCTTGGTGCTTTTGCAGGGAGGCACCGCTCCTGGTGACTCCCGACTCAGTGAGAACCAGGAGCCCAGGAGCTGACCTGGGCAAGGGAAGCAGGAGTCATGGAGAGCACAGGGTATTCTGTGGGTCATAGGATGTGATTTAGTTGTGATAAATTGAGTTTAAAGGACCTAGAACAATCAATGGATACCAACTTTTGTGTGGTTTTAAATTTTGTGCGTATTTTAAATGTGTGTGTTTTTGGAAGCTTTGTATATGGTTTTCATGCCTCTGGCTGTCTTTGTTGTGTAATAACAAAACAATAAACTCAACATGTTGCCTGTGTCTAGTGCAACTTGCATGGTGATTGATGGCACTGGGACTCTGGTCTTTTGTTCATTCCTAGGGCCTGGAATGATAATTTTGAAACTTTATATCATATCTTATGCCTCAATTAATTTGAGCCTGACAGAACTTCATTCTCTGGGTGCAACTTATCATTGCTCAAGTACTGTCAGAATAATGCACATACATAAGCATGCTTTCAATGCTAAAGTGATTCTTCTGGAGTTTGGATGATAAACTTCATCAGTCAGCAGTGGAAAGCAAATGTGACATGACCAACGCAGTGTCAAATACTGATGCTGGTTGTAAAGGAGACTGACTCAATCCATTGCAGACATTAACAGTGACAGCAGTAAAAACTGCTGAATGTCTGACAAGTTTCTGCTTACTATTTGATCAAGACTCTTTTTACCTCTTTGGTCAAAGCATTAATTTTGCAAAAATCATTACTTTTGATTATTGATTTTTAAGTCTTCTCAGCTGCAATATATCTCACACAGTAATGTGGACAATTGCAAAAAGCGTAAGACACCCAATACTAAGTCTAGACTAGCCCATCTTAACAGTTAATCTATAGATTGTGTCTCGCATATGTTTCTTGGCAAATAGTAAGGTTCTTAATTTAAATTTAGCCATTTAAGCTCTTCTCTATCTGTAGGCTGAATTAATCATTCTAATTTGTGGAGGTGATCCCCTAAAATGTGTATCTAAAACAGCTATGTTCTCTTACACTTCAAAATTTATTTTTTTCTTCTTATTTTATATCAACAGAGCAGAGACAAATAGCTCAAACAAAAAAAGACATTTAGACATAAAATTTACTAAAGCTGGATGAGATAAATCCTATCTCCCAAATCATACAATATTGTCCTGAGGGAACTTGATCCAGGATGAAGGGCTAAGAGTGCTCCATCCTAAAAGGGCCAAAAGCCACATACAGAAGAACTGAGAAGAATTCCTGGTGGCTTCTGCCCTGAGGACAGGTGACACAAATAAGAAAGAATAAACATATTGGGCAGACAATTATGGTCACTTTGTCCATATACAACTGTCTCAGGGAAATCTGATGAACACGAAGCAAGGCATATGGAAGGTATTAATGAAAAATTCCTAAAGCTCAACACTCACACATTATTCCAACAGACACTGAAAAGCTGCCTGAAAATTCAGACCAAAAGCACAAAGATCTCTGTAACCACAGATATCACTTAACTGGTCTGATGAAGATGGGTTTCTTTTCTTCAGAATCATCTTAGATCTGTTACTATTTCAACCTCGTGGTACTATGTGTTAGAGAGGTACTTGAGTTGACAGGCTTGGATATGCAGTTAATAAGCCATTAAATTGCTGAGCATTTATAAAAAATGAATCAACGTTTCAGATGTCCCAGGAGACTTATAATTAATAAAAGCTTTATCCTGGAAGTGAAGTATTTAAAATAGAACACTCTAAAAGAATTGGCAATAACAAATGTCCTACCTTTGCTGACTCTTTATAAAAACTAAAATGCTCACTCTACTAGGAGTTCAAAAATAAATAAATTAATTAAAATATTCTGGTTTTCCTGATTGTTTAAAGACACAAACTGTGAATGCACTGACATTTTAGAGGTGACTAAGCCTCTGTCAGCTCACAGAGAAAATGACTGCAGTAACAGGGTCTGTGGGAGCCACACTGCCCAACAAAGGCAACACAGCATGTATGTACAGAGCTGCTTTGCTACAATCCCCAAAGTCCTCAATCAGTGTAACTGAACAACAAAACACTGCTTATAAAACCATGAGAGCCAACACAGGCACTGCTTGTTCTGCTGGCCACACCAATAGGATTTACTTTGGCGGGGAGAGGAGGGGGAAGAGGGGATGGGCTGCCTTACACCCATGCTCGTGTATTTCATTTTGTTACACAGCACATGCCAGCGCCTGCTTCTTGTGCGCTGCCTAGTCATTGTTCACACAGAATTTGCCTGGGAGAAGCATATTATAGGCATAGACTTCCAGGAAAAATGCAGGTAAATACTGCCTCTTGATCCACTTGGAGCTGAAACATATTGTCCTGGAAATTGCTCATCAGCAATGGTCTCTTATGTGGCACATTTCAAATAACTACAAAGAATGATCTTTCTAACGATTTCTGCAATACACATCTGAGACCAAATCCTGCCTTTGCCTCTTTCACTGTGGAAGTATCCTGGCAACAGCGGCAGTGCTGCTGTTAGGATCTCTGGGCTCCATCCCTTCCTGCTTAGCTGTGCAGGAAGGGCACTAAGCGCCAGAGCAATGCCAACAGATGCAATCTTGTGTGGAAGGGATGAGCAAGGCTTGTGCAGCATGTGGTGGCAGTGGCAAGGGAGCAATACTGCAGCCCCTTGGAGAGCCAAGGCAAAGAACCAGACCCACTCTCACCCTACTGCTCCTGGACAGCCCTGCTATGGGGATGGATTCTGCACAGGAATTTTCCCTTATATGTAATGTTAGGAAACAGCTAAAGTAAAGCATGTGGCAAAATCATCCTGGATGGGACGATATCAAATTCAATATACTTTGTAATGAAGCAGGAATTGAAACAGTATATATAAACTTTGCAATATGAAAACCTTTCTACAGAGGATAGAGGATTACGTAATAGATATTTTTTGTTTCACAGTAACCTATACATTTAGAGAACTTGCAAAATTTCATTTTATCTTCTCATCTGTGTGATTTTCACTAGACTTCTACTTCAACAATCTGAGTTTCTGAGTTTACAAAAAAGGATTCACAGCAGTATTTCTCCAAGATGTAAAAATCTGAATTCTTTAATTTTCTACATAAATAACATAAAAATAATTTCTTAAATTCTATTTCAGGATAAGAATTATTAAGTTCTGTAAAATAATCTTACTGAGAGGTGGAGAGGGAAATTTATTACCTCCTTCAGAATAGGCTGGAGTGCTTTCACACAAGATACCAGAACCCCATTTTTTCTTCTGAAGCACTGTGATCCAAGAAGTAAAACAACAATTTTCTTTTAGGACTTGACATCTGAAACCCTTATCAGCTTTACGCAGGCTCTGAAACATTCCTGAAAAGTGTCCTCCACTGGGCAGTGTCCTTACTGCAAAGTATGTTTTAAAGGCACTCCCACACCTTTGTTAATATGGTGACTTTAGTCTTCCATTATATTGCTAAGTCTTCATGACAATTTACAAAATTTTATTTCATAAATTGCTGAACAATCTTGTGAATATCACCATTTGAGAATAAGAAGACTCAAAACACAGAGACTATTTATCTGAACAAATTACAGTTCTCTAGACTCCCTCTATAGTCAATGGAGAGGAACAGGCTCTTGTGAATGATTTCCTAACATAGAAATATAAACCAGGTTACAATCCATGCTCAGAAAGAAGGTTTTTTCCTCTTTGGTCTATGAAGAGGGTTCAAGGAAACCAGTTCAGAGACAGAAATCTTTACAGTAGCTGAGGCAAGTGAGATGACTCCCCAAAAGAGAGGTTAAGTAATTATTTCAGGCTTCAGAGAAATCCTAATATTCAGGATTCCTGCCTTTCCCTCTTGCAAGAACATCCTTACCTGAACATGCATATTCTCACTGCAGAAGGAGGTTACTGAGGACTCTGAATAACAGAAACTCACTGCAAAGTAAGAAGGAAGAACAGACCTGGTGTTACTGTCACGTCATTTCCATTGACCACAGGTCTTTCTTCCTCTTCTTCCTCTGGTGGTTCAATGCCTGTCTTCTCCATATTGCTCACAGACTTATTCCTTTTACGCTTGCCTTCAGCCCCGGGAGTGGCGCCTGGGAGGATCTGGTCTGTCACATTTAACAGCAACGGAGCCGGTTCTGCTGGAGGCTTTGGAGTGCCGTAATAGTTGTCTGGAAAGAAAAGAAAAGGAATAACACCTAAGATTGCAGAAATACACAGGCTGCTGCTTCTTCTTTTGTTTTAGATTAATGGATATGTGAGGTAGGATCTGGCTCATCAGCTGAAGTAAAGAATAGTTCAAAATGTTTTCTGCAAAATTGAATGTTTACTTTTCCTGAAATGGCAATTAATTTTCTTTGTGGTAGCACAAGTTATCCAATCATGCTCACAAACATGTATCTCATTACAATTTCTGAAACTATAACAGGTTAAGTTTACATTTCTCTCATCCAAATACCTGACCCACTGGTAGCATACCAGAGCTGTTTTCTTATTTCAAATCATTAGTTAGGACAAATTAGTTTTGCAACATTTATGCCACAAAACAAGAGTTTCTTAAGGATCAAAGTTATTATAAGAATATTGATTATTTATCATTTATCATGTTATGTAATTTGTAATCTTCACTCCCTCAAATTATGTCACCTGCTTAGAAAGCAAGTATTCATCCAATGATTCAGAGATTTGCAGCTTTCAGTAACACTTTCATGATCTTATTTTTCCATATTTGTCAAATTTTTGCTCATTTTGTTCATGACTTCAAAATTTGTCATAGTTAATGCTAATATATTTTCAAAAAAACCTTTGAAAATAAGATTGAAACCTTATGCTTTAGGGCTTAGCATTATCTCAAAGTACTAAGGAATTCTGAGAAGACTTAGGGTGGCTGACAGATTACCCTCTATATGTGTCTTCTGAAATTTCTGGTAACTTCCTCTGAGTCATCTACTTTCTGTCAGAAGGATTATTAAATTAGATGGACCACAGTCCCATTCTTATCTAACAATATCTCTATGTTTGCATTTCTAGCACATCTGATCTCAAAATTAGTGTCTTGCTGATACGACAAATTTTTAATAAAAAATATGGTTAAAAAGAGATTGGAACAAAGTTAATAATATTTTTAAAAACATGTGCTTCCTAGAAAGAAACATAAATAGTATGGCAATATTATGGCAATATTATTGTAACCACACACATAGGCATGACAAAAATAAATGCATATATTATACATGCACAGTAAACCATCATAAAATACATTTTGCAGGCAGAGTAAAAATTATTACAGGCACTTGTATTTCTGTGTGTTTCCAAGGATGTACGATGTTCAGCCACGTGATGACTTCAATACAGGTAAGTAACTGGACAGCCTTGCAACTACTGAATACTCAATGAATTTTTCACAGCAGTTTAGCAAAGCAATATTAATAACAGATGTTTCTGTAATTTTAATACACAGTAAAAATGTACTGTTTATGACACTCATAGTCACTCTGAACTGAATGAAACTTTGACCCATTGCAGATTTTCTTAGGATTTTGAGAGATGGCAGCAGGTTTAACCAAGAGCCCCAGCCAGCAGGGCAATGAGATGTGGCTCTGCAGGGGTGACTGTGGGAGATCTCTGACTGCCAGAGTTAAAGTATGAGAGGAGGATTTGAGATCTAAGGGGGGAAAAGGAAATCTACATTGATCCACTCACAGAGCTGTGCCTCCAAAAAATGTCAAGACCAGATCTGTTTGCAGTCAAAATTTCTATGCTCTGACAGTACAGAGTTTTGAGAGCATCTGAAAACCCACAGTGCTCAGTTGGAAGTCTACTTTTGTATTGCTCTAAGGTCATGTTACCTTTATTGGTGAGATTGTGTGTCTTTAATATCACATACTTTGAAAATAGGATTCCTCAATTAAAAAAGCTCCCTGGCCTAAACCATTTTACCAGTTTCAATCAGTGCCTCAGAGGCCTTAAGCTTGACAAAACTTACCAAATATGCACTGATTTCCACTATCAGATTTCCACTGATTCCATAAATATCAGAAGATATTGTACTACTGTACCAGGGATATTGTACTAGTGTGACACAAACTGTGAAACTAAAGTGCAGTACCTTGGCTTTTTTTCCTTTGTTCTTAGTTCTCTCATTGTCATACAAAATTGAGTGCAGTGATAATTAGCAGTAATGCTAAGATCCTGAATAGCAGATGAGGTGTTTTAACTGAAGGACACTCTCATGTTATTTTAAAAATATTAGACACTTTTTCACTTTGACTGACTGTATGCATTAGTGAGAAACAAAATTCACACACAGAAAAAACCAATCTATTAATCTCACATATATAAAAATTGAAGAAAAAATTGCATATATAAGATTAGGGGCCAAAGTGGATTTAACACATTCAATTTCAAATGGAAAATAATGTATAATTTCCACTTCTGTCCTACAACATAAAACTTTATGTGCTTTATGATCCAGTAATCATTGATTTAAAAGTGATTTTTAAATTATTATTGCTAGCTACTTATTGATCTGTGATCTGTACCTTTAATTCAAAAATATGCATAAACAATGCAAATAAAAATAAGAAACTATACACATACTGATACAATCAGTGTGTCATTTAAAAGTTAGCTAAACTCCAATGGAAGAAATATACAGAGTGAGAGATCCAGCCATTTCAATGAAGGAGCAATGCTCCGTTACAGAAAAATTAAATAAATGTAAACTGTATCTTTTATCAGGAAGAGATTCTCAGTGTCTTGAAATTCCTTACTTATTACTTGGGAGACTAGAGATGCTGGGAGACTCTTATGTCAAATGTCATATCTAGGCATAAGGTAGAGAATAAATGTTTAAAAACCATAACTTTTGTTGCCATTAAATTTTGAAAATCTCTGATCTCTTTTTCATCTTCCCTGAGCAAGGGGAATGGTTCAATAGGTTACTGTTGAAGCACTAATCATAAGGTACTGAAATTCATTTTCCTGTAGGTAAAAAAAGGGAACATTAAATAAACAATTCCAACTGTAGTCAATTTTTAAAAAGGAAAAAAAAAAAAAGAAGAAAAAGAAAAAAAAAAAAGAAGAAAAAAAAAAAGAAGAAAAAAAAAAAAAGAAGAAAGTGTATTAGAAAATATAAATCCCATGCTCACTGGCAGTCAGAAAACCAGCAGTTAGGAGTTTTCTTTAAAAAATTAATGGTGCACAAAACAGACAACACCTTTATAACACTATACAAAACAACATACTACCCTCTCTTTTGTATACTGCCTGCTGTTCTGGTACTTGCCTCTCAAAAATTTCATGGGGGAACTAAAGAAGGGAAAGTAAAGCTTGGAACTACTTAAATTGATTTTGAGTTTTCAGCTTGGAAATGGGACAACTCAAAGGGAATATGGCAGACATATATAAAAACAGGACAACCCTGGGAAAGTGCCTAGAAAATCGATGAATGGATGTTTAGCTTCCCACTACTTGAGAATAAGAGGATGCCCAATGAAATTAACAGGTTTAAGACAAGCAAAAGAAGTGTTTGGGGTTTTTTTACATAGCAAGAGAATAGTGGCATTCACTGTCAGATGCTGCCAGTATCGTAAATGCAGTCAAAAAGCAATTATACAAAGTCATAGAAGAAAAAAATACCATGAAAGCCTATTAAATTTAAAGGTACAAATTCTGAATCAGGAGCTCCATACAATCAGATTGGTAGAGTGCAGAATGTAACTCTACATGCCTTCCCTGTTACTGTGTTGTATGCCTTAATATCTTACAGGTCTCTTCCAATCTTAGTGATTCTGTGATCTACCAAGGGGCAGTAGGTGCAAAATTTTCCCTCCATTTGACTAAGTGCAGCTGCTCTATTACTCAGGTTCCTCCTTGCTGTACTCAAAAAAATGTCTGTGTACTTTCCTGCCACCCCTGCACAGTCAAGAGGTCAGTTTAAGCCTAAGTGAAGTTCTTTGTGCTGGGCCTGAATCAAAGCCTCTGTGCAGACAGGCAGTGCAGAAAAAGCACCTCTGCTGAATCCATCTGGCTGCTGCTCCTGATTGCTCCAGTGCTTCCAGCTGGTTCTGAGTGCAGCTGAACACTGAAGATGGTCTGGCCTAACCTATGTGACTTGGCTGCCAAGTGGCTCAGAAGCCATGGCACAGTGACAATTACCAAGTGTCCCTTGCGACCCCTGAGCTGCATGAACCCCGATCAGCACCCTGATTCTACAAGGAAGAGTCAGACAAACTAATGGGTAGGCTTGCTCTGATGACAGAAACCAGATCAGGAAGTCAGAAAGTCAGAAGAAGGAGAAAAATGAAGAAATAAGGAGGAGGAAACAGCTTTTTTTTTTTTTTTCTTAAATTTAGTTCACCTATGTCAGGATATAGTAAGACTTTTATCGATAAAGTGTTTGATGAGGAAGCAATATCCTAACTTGCTTCCTGAGAAAAGGTAAGCCTTTGAGGAAGAAAAAAAGAACACTTGGGTGGTAGTAAAGAAGCAGAAAAATCCTCATGTTGAAATGATAACAAGACTCAGATATACTGACAGTGCCTATACTGGTGTGCTCAACACCATGTGACCCCAGTTACTGGGCACAGTTAGAAATGTGTCTCCCTGTCGTGCTCTACTTTCTGCTCCATTGCAGGAACTGACCTACATGCATTTTTCTCTGCCTGGCCTTGCCAGTCCCTCTCCCTTTCTGTGAGGAAAGATCTAAAATGAAGCATAAACTGGACATCTCCTCTTGCCATCCTTCTGGACAGAGAAGGGAGAGGAAGGGCTTTGTGCCAGGTCTGCACTCCAGGCTGCAGAGGAGGTGGGGCTCCTTTTTTCTCTTGGGCCAGGCCAGCCTGAGCCATCAGGTTGTGAAGAAAGGGGACCATTGCTGCGAGCACCCTTTCCTCCTGAAGCTCCACTAATCTCGCATGAGAAATTAAAAACTCTAGTTTAAAAATGTGTTATGAAAAGTTAAAACAGTGATGAGGAATTAGAAAATTATAGTAAAAATGAACAACCAGACAGAAAACAAGAGGTGTGCCAGAGCTAGAAGCTTTTAGGATGAATACTTCCAGCTATGGTATGAGTCACATTCTCAGCCCAGAGCAGAGATACATTCCTTTTCACACTTATTTTTAGAGTGAGATGAAACAATACCCAGCTACAAATACACACCTGCCTT